TATCACCTCTTTCATTTCTAAAAGCCTTCTACGGTAACACTTTGGGGGTTATCTGAGAGGATTCTAGAAGAAGTTTTTGTTATATATTATTATCCTTCTCTGACCAACTAGACTGAGAAACCGGACTTAATTTGAAGAAGGGTTCAGAATAGTGAGATAAATGTGAGTTTAGAATGTACATCCAAACATTGTGAAATGAGAACTCTAATTTCTCAGTGTATAGGTAAAAATCTGACAAAGTTTGAATATGATAAAGACTTCCATTCTATATAAATAACCTGCTTATTGATTGACTGATACTATTAATATCTCAAATTTTCCAAAATAACAAGTACACCTATTCATTTCATATGTGATTGAAACTGAGATGCCTATAAGTAATCTATACCAGGCACCATTATTTTAAGATGTACACTAAGAAAGAAAAGAGCTGCCAGTTGTCAGTTACATTCTGACCTTAGGGATATCAAGATGTTTAAAAAAGCATCTTAAAATCAAAGAAATGAGTTATATCCAAAATATCCCTAATTCTATATGAAAATAAACTTCATCTTTGAAATTAAAGTGGACAATTTCGTAAGCCACAAAAGACACTTCTCAAATTAATATTTTAAAAGGTAATAACAATATATTCACCAACCAAAAAACCAAATAAATGAGAAGATACTGGAAGTAGTTTATTTCTACAGCTTGGACAAACTTTTCAAGGTATCTAACTCATTCTCTTTCCTTTGTATTCTCTTTTTTTCTTTTTTTCTTTCTTTTTTTTTTAATTTTAAGATGGAGTTTCACTCTTGTCACCCAGACTGAAGTGCAATGATGCGATCTTGGCTCACTGCAACCTCTGCCTCCCGCAATCAGCGATTCTCCTGCCTCCGCCTCCTGAGTAGCTGAGATTACAGGCACCCATCACAATGCCCAGCTAATTTTTGGTATTTTTAGTAGAGATGGGTTTTCATCATGTTGGCCAGGGTGGCCTCAAACTCCTGACCTCAGGTGATCCCCCGCCTTGGGCTCCCAAAGTGCTGGGATTACAGGCGTGAGCTGCTGTGCCCGACCTTTTTCTCATGTCATCTTCTTTTCCAACTGCCCATAATGTAAAATTTAAGCTATGTAAATTTTTAATGATTAATTAAAATTTTATATTTCTTGCTAAAGTAAAAAGATGTGAATTGAACTTTAAAATTTTTTTGGTCCAAAGATTTTTCTAAATTACTGGCCAGACACAGTGGCTTATACCTGTGTAATGCTAGCACTTTGGGAGGCCAAGGTGAGAGGATTGCTTGAAGCCGGGAGTTCAATATCAGCCTGGGCAATAAAGCAAGACCACAAAAAGAAATTTTTTAAAAATTATCTGGGCAAGGTGGTACACTCCTATAGTCCTGGTTATTCAGGAGGCTGAGGGGAGAGGATAACTTGAGCCCAGGAGTTGGAGACTGCAGCAAGCTATGATCATGCCACTGCATCTGGGTTACAGAGTAAGACCTTGTCTCAAACAAATAAACAAAAATTATTGTGGACTTGTGTAGGGCTTGAAATTGACTGATACACTCATACACAAACATGGTTCTATATATATTATAGAATTTTCTTATTAAAAGTTAAACTTATATTAGAGAATATCAGTTTAGCTTGGAGCAAAAGAGCATACTTATGCCATATTTTCTAGGAAACGTTTTTATCAGTACATCTTTACATCTCAAGACAGAGTCAGGTCTCTATTGTAGAATTCAAAACTTTCCATCCTTAATGTTAAAGAAATATTTATCTGGCATTATTATAGATGAGAATAATATTCTTCACCCGTATTATTATCAGAGGTTGCAGACCCTGCAGGTCAGTTTATAAGTTTTTATGTCCCAGAGTATTTAGTGAACAGGAGATGCTTTTTGTGTGACCCAGAAATTTTTGATGATGCCTGTGACCTCCTAATTTTGAAAACGGTTGGGACATTGGAGATAAAACTTTATCATCTTCCATTTTATTTTTCAATAACACTTCTAGTTTACTAGATGAAATTTGACTCTTTTCATTTCTTCTCCTTCTTAAAAGTCTCAGTGATAGAAAATTGGCCATAGTGACCAACTTTACTTCAGCTATTATGAGGACATACAGTTACATTCTTAGCTAAAATCTAAGGCATTTAAACTTTGCTTAAAGATTTTTAGAGATAGTAGCATATAGACTGTGGCGTCAGAAAGTCCTGGGGTTTCTTTGGGGGTTTTTTTGAGAGAGAGTCTCACTGGAGTGCAGTGGGCAATCTCAACTCACTGCAACCTTTTTCTCCCGGGATCAAGCGGTTCTTCTGCTTCAGCCTCCCAACTAGCTGGGATGACAGGTGCCCACCACCATGCCTGGCTAATTTTTGTATTTTAGTAGAGGTGGGGGTTTCATATGTTGGCCAGGCTGGTCTCGAAGTCCTGACCTCAAGTGACCCACCTACCTCAGCCTCCCAAAGTGCTGGGATTACAGTCATGAGCCATCGTGCCCAGCCAGTCCTGGGTTTTTTTCTTGGCTATGCTATTTAACCTCTAGGAGCCTTAATTATTTTACGTGTAAGTGGGGCAATAATGTTGATCTTATAAAGTAGCTGTGAACATTAAACAAGGTGATATAAATTTAACACAACAGGCCGGGCGCAGTGGCTCACGCCTGTAATCCCAGCACTTTGGGAGGCCGAGGCGGGTGAATCACGAGGTCAGGAGATCAAGACCATCCTGGCTAACACGGTGAAACCCCATCTCTACTAAAAATACAAACAATTAGCTGGGTGTGGTGGCGGGCGCCTGTAGTCCCAGCTACTCGGGAGGCTGAGGCAGGAGAATGGCTTAAACCCAGGAGGCAGAGCTTGCAGTGAGCCAAGATCGTGCCACTGCACTCCAGCCTGGGCGACAGAGCAAGACGCTTTCAAAAAAAGAAAGAAAGAAAAAGAAAATTTATCACAACGGTACCTGCAATCAATAAATGGTGGAAATTTTTAAGAGCTCAAGTGATTCACGTGTTAGCAATTGTATTCATTGTCAATGAACATAATTTAGGTTTCTTTGTTCAGTGGCTACAAAATTTATAACAATGTCTAATACAAAGTGATGCTTTCTAAAATGATGATATGATCAACATTATACACCACTTTTAGCGTTAGAAGTATTCAGACCAAGTTTACCAGCGGAAGAAAGCAAGGATATTGCATGGTTTCTTTGTCTGTTATACCCTTTGCCACAATAATGCTCGGTAACAACCCCCAAACCTTAGTAGCATACAACACTTTCTTAATCACTTGTGCAGATGGAATCAGCTGGAAATTAGCTAGGCAGCTTTGCTTATCTTGGCTGGGCTTATTCACATTTGTGGGGTCAACTGGCTCCCTGTGTCCCAATCTTCCAATAGCCTAGTCCCCAAATCATATCTTCAGTCATGGACAAAGCACAAGAACAAAAGCAGAAAGAATATAACTAAACTTTCAAGCTCTGTTTTCATCACAACTGCTAACAGCCTCTTAACCATGGAAAATCACATGGTTGACTTCAGAATCAAGGGACAGGAAAATATATTCCACCTCTTGATGGGAATTGCTCCAAAGTCACATTACAAATGGCACGAATAAAAGGAGGAGTGAAGAATTGGAGCCATTAATTTTGTTCATCTACCATAGTTTCATACATGTGTCCTTGAAGATAATAAGAACTAGTTTGTCTTTAAAAGTCATTGAAATTCTGCATTCTTTTCATTTAGGAGATTTAGTCCCTCTCCGTCATAAATGAAAATACCACTGGATTCAGGAACTTAACCATTATAGCTAATTGAAATACTAAGTTTGGGTGGGAGGGGACTTTTATATTTGTTTTAATTGGAAGTCTTCCTTTTTTATATACGCTAGGACTGAAGCTACATTACAATTCTTAAAATACTAGCAGCTATTTTCCCACTAAGTGGGATTTACTTGAAATGTGAAAAAAAATGTACTTAAATAAGCCTCTCTGATAAAGATTAAAAGAAACCTCATTTTTATGTAGTCCTAGATATGGGATCATATTTGATGAAATAATTTGATTATTTCTGTTGGAATGAACACGACATTGTCTACCACACCACTCTCCTACTTGGTATCTGTCTGACCTTAGGCAATTTTCTTAAATATTATATCCTCGGCCGGGCACAGTGGCTCTCACCTGTAATCCCAGTCCTTTGGGAAGCCAAGGCAAGCAGATCACGACGTCAGGAGATCAAGACCATCCTAGTCAACATGGTGAAACCCCGTCTCTACTAAAAATACAAAAATCAGCTGGGTGTGGTGGTGCGTGCCTGTAATCCCAGCTACTTGGGAGGCTGAGGCAGGAGAATGGCTCGAACCCAGGAGGCGGAGATTACAGTGAGCCGAGATCGCGCCACTGCACTCCAGCCTGACCACAGGCTTTATTATATCCTTTATGATGATGCCATTTTCACACAGTTACTGTTTTAGGTTAGTAGTTACACAAAGTTGTTAATATTCTTTGAAATTTTGTGTTTTTCAGAAATAGCCAGGCAAGCAGCACAAATAAAGCTTTTGAGAAAACTTCAAAAGCAGGAACAGGCTCGAGTTGCTAAAGAAGCCAAAAAACAACAAGGTGAGTGATTTAAATGATAACATAAACTCAAAGAGTCAGTACTGGGGAATTCATGAGAGGTTTCTTTTCTTCATTCCCTTTTTGATGATATCTATCCTTTGGCTTCTTGTTGTAGCAATAATGGCTGCTGAGGAGAAGCGAAAGCAAAAAGAACAGATAAAGATTATGAAACAGCAGGTATGTGTATGTATTGGAACTGACTTTTAAAATATGGGACTTATTTTGAGGATTTGTTAATAATGTACATTATTTTTTATTTCTTAAATAACTGTATTTCACATTAATGTTTGTGTCTTATTTAGAAAACTACTATCTTCTCTTAATTAAAATTTTACCTGTTTAATAAAGTATTCTACTTCCAAGTGTTTAAAGAAATGATTACCAAACAGTAAATTTGTGTAAGTACTTTAATATCCTTGTAGACTTTGTATAAGTTGATATCTTGAACAATTTTCAGAATTTTTAAATTAATATATCAGTCAATGAAGTATATTACCCGAATGTTCAAATTTTAATAAAGCCTGTTGTTCTTAAACATGTAAAATATTAGTAGAAAATTAAATTTAAGTTATACAAAATAAGATTTGCCTTCGTTGCTTCTGAATGCTTTCAGGGTTACTTAAAAGTTGCCACTGCAAAAAAAAAAAAAAAATGAGAGCATTATTTTAGCAAATCCAGAGTTCTCTGTCTTGTATCTACAATATTTCTCCCCGTGTGGTTTTCAAAATTAAGTTTAGGTAAGAGAAGTAATTTTTAAATTTTCATAGATAAAAATTAAGTGAGAAGGTATTCAGCTTCATTTAAGATGAGAATGTGTAAACTACTCTCCCATCTCCTCATATTCATGGTAACATTAAAGCAGAAAGGAAATGGGAGAAAGTACTATTCTTTTAAAAATGTTAGGAAGCAAGTAGTTATTTCTGAGAATGAAATGAAATCAATTATGTTACTATATAAATACCTGCTAAATAAGGGGCTTGGGTTGGATTTGATGTGATTATCTCTAAGGTTTCTTCCAGTATTAACTAAAGCAATATGACTAGAAAAGTTGCTATAGAGTTGGGATTTAGGATTTGAGTTTGTAGTCAGGCAGCCTACGGTTAAATATGGGCTCTGCTACTTAATAATTTTGTGATCTTAGATGAATGACTTAACCCTTAAGTCTTTATTTCTTCCATCGTAAAAGAAGTTAATTGCAATATCTGAATAAATGAGATAATGAACGTAAAGTGCCTACTGCAGTGACCGGCAACAAAACACATGCTCAACTTTTTAAAAATAAATATAAAACATCCAACTACACAGTATACTCTTTTACCACCATAATTTAAAGTAGCAGTTGTAAACTTGAATTCCATCCTTAGTTTGTTAATTGTGACTGCTAGACATTGTAAGATTGACCTGAAATAGGCTAATGAATGCATTTGTTAAAATATATTTACTAAAGAGTATATATGAAAAAATAAGTTCATATTTCATTTTTAAGTGAAATACTGTTGTTTCTGTTATACTTTTATTTAAAAAGTTTTATAGCTTATTCTATTTCCTAATGGCTGGAGACTCATTAGATCCCATCAGTACTTTAAATTCAGCTTTATGATCTTAAAGTCTTACAGTAGCTACAACCTAAATCCACATGGTCTTTGCTACTCATTGAAAAAGCATTGAGCTCCAAAGTTTCCAGCAACATTAATGCAAATGAACTGGTCTTAATATTTATCAAGATATTTATCTGAGGCCAATCTCAGAATACCATCTCATTTATTTGATTCAACAAAGTGAATCGAAGTATAGAGTAATTCTACTCATACTATCTGTTATATAGGGTCTATTTTAAAGTCAGCATTTGATCTAGAATAAAATAGGGTATGTGTTTTCATCCTTGGGATGATTTTTTCCACCTAGTAGACCAAAATATCACCAGGCAGTCCTTAAGACAGTTTTCTGGAAGATTTCAGAAACATTATTACAAAGCAGGAGGCACACAGGCATTGGGATCTGACCAGGACTCTGTATTACTACGTATTGGACTTCAGACAAAATATTTACTTGCTGAGAACCTCAGTTTTCTCTTATATAAAAAGAAGATAATTTAAGCTTCTATGATTTTTTAATGATTGATAAGATATTAAATGTAAAGTGACCAGCTCAGTGGTTGAGTACCCAACATTGTAAAGTTAACCTGTATTATAGTAATTTACCATGTTTATCTTATCTACATGCTAATGATAACACTACCAAATATATATGGATATATATAAAAGTCACTTGAATAGTTAAGATAAAGCTTTAGATTGTGTATGTCAGCCCCAAGATTCCCTGCCTATCTGTGCTTAAGAGAACAATGAATGACTTTTGCTGACTTGAAAACATAGCACCTTATAATGTTATAATTGACAAGAGCAGGAAAGTTAGATCAAGAGTATACTTTTCTCAGATATCAAGTTCTAATTCAAATAAATACTGCAAATATGGATCAAATGCAATCTTTTCTAAGACTTGGAAATTAAACAAAAGATACACTTTGGGGTTTTGGGTTTTATTTTTTGTTTTGTTTTTCTTTGTTTTGTTATTTGTTTTTTTAGACAGAGTCTCCCTCTGTTGCCCAGGCTGGAATTTCAGTGGCATGATCTCTGCTCACTGCAGCCTCCGCCTCCGGGATTCCAGCAGTTCTCCTGCCTCAGCCTGCCAGGTAGCTGGGATTATAGGCATGCACCACTACACCCGGCTAATTTTTTGCATTTTTAGTAGAGACAGGATTTCACCACCTAGCACTGTTCATTTCTCGAACTCCTGACCTCAGGTGATCTGCCCACCTCGGCCTCTCAGAGTGCTAGGATTACAGGTGTGAGCCACAGTGCCCGGCCCACTTTGAGGTTTTTATTTTTGACAGCCTACAATTAATACTCAGTACCAAGATACGATCACCAAAATCAAAGAATGTGATCAGTCTTGTGAAATCAGAACAGTAATCCCTAAAATTTCATCATCCTGCAGTAGACTCCTGCAGGGAATCAATAACATCAGTGTACATAAAACAATTAAAATGTATATCAAAGTATAGCTTCAATAAGTACAACTAGCATCTGGAGATAGGAGCAGGCATTGTGAAATACAGGTGTATAAAATGTGTTGGCCCTGGAAATTCTAGGATAAGTACAGTTTTCAATTAAGAAACTTTGAATTTTCTTTTTTAACTTGTATTTATTCTCATCAGTGCCAATTTGGGACTTCTGAATGGATTAAAGAACATGAAATTTCTAAGAATGTTTTATAGAATATGAGATAATTAATATGAGATAATTTTTTAAATTAAAATGTAAATTTTTGTCAAAATTTATATGATCACTAAGTTATAAAACATATCCAATAATCAGGTTATTAAATTTAGACAATGTGTACCCCAATTATGTCCTACAAATAATTTCCTGGAATGTTAAATTATAATTAATTAATTTTAAAATAATGTTACAGGTTATTTCTGAAATGGGCTAATTGTGATAATTATAAGCAATGTTATATTGTCATGCTATTCAACATGTGAAATAAATTTTAGAATGGAAATTATTGTTAATAATGTTACAATTGTGTCACTGTATACTTTTTAAAGCATTTTATTTAATCATGACAAATGAGAAAGGGCAAACACCTCTCCCTATTTTACACAAGAATAGTTATTATTTGCTCAAGACCATTCAATAAATGACTGTAATCCAGAACTGGCTATATGTTTTCTGACTGCTGATACATGATTTTTCTACTATTAAGTCCTATATTTATTTCAAGTTAAGTATTATTTGTAATTGCAAATATTTATAAAGATCTTCAGGCTATATAGTTTAATCAGCTTGCTTCACTGAGTTTCTGTTTATTTAGCATTTGCATTTTACAAATTATGAGAAACTTTATCAAATCATATTAGTTTCAGACATGAAAATATATATGATTTTATACTAAATAATTAAATTTTTATGTCCCGCGTTTGGTAATTTTGTACTTATATTTTTATTATTTGATTCTGCTCAAATACTCTTTACTCAGTTTATTATCTCAAGTTATCATAACTTTTCCTACAGGAAAAAATTAAGAGAATACAGCAAATCAGAATGGAAAAAGAACTTCGAGCTCAGCAAATTCTAGAGGTAGAATTCTTAAATTTAACATAATTAAAGTAATATAGCCATATATTTTTAAGTCTGCAAAAATAAAGATTTTACATGCATGTTTTCTCACGTTTGTCAGATACTCTCTTTAAACATTCTGCATAGAATAAAACTTTATCTGAGCCTTATTTAGCAAGCTAATCTAATCCCAACAATAAAGATATACAAAATGAGACAAAAGAAACAGGAAAACTTCTGAGCAGTCAATGGAGTTGTCATAAAGTTCATGCGCTAAAATGTTTTACTTTTATAAAAGTAAACAACAAAAGAAAAATCATTAGGGCTGATAGTCTGATATTTGCTTTTAGTTTAGAAACAAATGTTTACAGAAGTAAACATTTCAAAAGTAAAAATAAATTTTAAATGTACAAAGTTTTATCAGATTGTTTTTCTAATTTCTAGCATATCCCTCTTCCCTGCAAGGCTAATTAGAATAGAGATAGAGGGGACATCTGTTGGCAACAGCAAAACTAATAGGCAAAAGATAGCAAGGAAAAAATACAGGGAAACGTCAGCTAGCACATATAGGAACTGAAAAGCCTAGCAACAGCCTGTAATCTTTTATTTGAATAGCAAGCAATTTTCAAAACCTTAATAGCCCAAAGGCATTACTCTTTGGAGCTGTGCAGTATGACTGATGTTCAAAATAATTGCCCTGAGTCATCAAGAATACGCCAAATTAGACACAGTACACAGTACACAGGCATAGTGGTGTCTAAGCAGGCACGTCTCAAAATTATTTGCATCTGAAATAGTGAAAATAAACTTCATGTTTAAAATTATTACAACTTCTCCACCATTCCGGAAACTGCTGCCTTATAGAGCAGTTTATTCCCTGAGGGCTCCAGATAACTGAGGTTTTCTCTGTTACAGTTTTATTCCTTCTAGAAATACACACATATTTTCCTACCCATTTCAAATTAATTTTAAAAACCAGAAATTGAAAATATTATTTTAAAGTAAACTGACAATAACTGCTAGGTAGTTATGAAACTTCTACACAGTTCATGATTTTAAGATTATGAAGCTTATGTTTGATAAATAGCATGATCTTAATAGTCAGATTGTGACTCATGAAAGATAAGATTACAAGTTTTCATTCTATTAAAAAAAAAAAAAACACTTGAACTTAACCACACTATACAGAGATGGGGAAAATCAGACCTAATATGCTTAACTTAAAAGATATAATCCAATAATGAATTTCTTTATCTCAAATTTTTAAGATTTAAAAGTAAATTTTAAATAAAGTTAACATGTTCATTCTCAAATATTACTAATTCTTGAAATAATTTTTATTTATCAATTAAAATCTATTCTGTTTTCTAAATGTTTTACAGTGATTATGTTTTACTTTTAAAATCAGAAAAACAATAAATGACATAAAATCATTTTTCTGTGATTAAATTTTAAAGTAAAAGAACATAAACACTCAATTATTTCAGACTTTTAACAGAGCTTGAAGAAGAAAAGCTGTCATATTCTTATGAATCTAAGAAATTTTTGTGTATTCTAATGCTAACCTATAAATTAGAAACACAATTATTACATTAAACATAATGTTAACTGGGGGGAAATCTGTAATTGTCTCCATATATGTTACATATTGTTTCGTACCTTGTGAGACATGTAGCTTCATTTCAAGTCTGACATTATTTGCAAGTTGTAGTGGTGCTGTTGCATGACTTTGAGACCTGTTTTGCATGCACAGGCTAAAAAGAAAAAGAAGGAAGAAGCAGCAAATGCCAAATTATTGGAGGCCGAGAAACGAATAAAGGTTAGTTTAGATGAGAATCAGAGCTTTTACTTTTGAAAAATAAAAACTGTATGTTATACTGGCATCAATTATATGAAACAATATGTCTTCAAAATGACTATCTGAATATATGTTTAGCAGATACAGCATGTGTATAATGTATGTTTTTATTTGTATGTATACTGTATGTGTATTTTTATTTTATTATGCAGGGTTTTTTTGTAATGCTTTGAGCTCTTTAGGAGACATCAAATCAGAAATGCAAATTGTTGCTTAATACCTGTATGTAGTTTTGCTAAATAAGAATGACTCCCCCAAAAAAACTGTTTTGTGTGTTGTTTATGTTTATGTTTAGCCATAGACTAGATATGGTATAGGTATGTTTATTTTTGTGTCTCAGTCTGATTCTCCCCTTTATAACTTTTTCTTTGTTAATATTCAGCAACTGTTTTATCTATTAAAAATGAAAAGCCTACAGAAACGAAAGCCAAACCTCATCAACTGTTATTTACCAATAACAAAATTAGCTGTTTTTAATTATTTTAACTTCAAGTATTTGGGGGTGTTTTGTTCTGATTTCCTGGCATGGAGTATAAGAGAGATGTCCCCTTCCTCCCCTCCCCCACCCTGCCATCCACCAGTAACTGAATACTGAAAGGGGGTAGCTGGGTGAACCTACTGGTACTGGAAAGAGCCACCACAGTTATACTTTGTAAAGCCAGGAACTGTTTATCTTTTCTACATAGACTCTCTTACTTTATTTTTTAAATTTCTACCTTTTCATGTTTGCCATTAATATTAATTTCACCATATTTTACCTTTATGAAAATAATGAGATTGGTGACGTTCCTTGAATGGTTTGCCTTACGTCCCATCCCCTTGGAATGGTGCCCTGAATCATAGGTGGACATGAAAATTTCACACTGGTTGCCTAGTTTTTATCACTTTAATTCATATGTAGTGTATAGAAATGAAAAACATGATGTTAATTATAGAGTATATTTGAGAGTTCATATTCAGAATGGAGAGAGTTCTAATTGGCTAGATTTGAGGGTTGCACCATAATGTATCACACTGATTAAAAAATACATGTGTGGGTTATATCTGATAGACTCTGACCATCTAGCTAGTTAGTTCAATGAATGTGCCATTGAAATGTGCAGTTAGATCAGTCATTCATTAAATTTTAAGTAAAAATGACTGCTGAAGAAAGATCCTTGCTACCATATTTGCTATGTTATACACTTTGTATGTAAGTATTTGTTGGGTAGAAGCATACAAAATCAAATTGACATTTTATAAGTAAAAAATTATTGAATATTGGCCATTTCATATGGTTCAACCTAATGGAAGACTATAGAATCTCAGAAAAGGAACTTTTAACAATTTTAGCATGTTCTAAATCTTCTCTAAAAATCATGTATTAAAAGTTTCTTATTTTTAAGGAAAAAGAAATGAGAAGACAACAAGCTGTTCTTCTGAAACATCAGGTCTGTAATGTATAGTTATACAACTGTTGAATGTACATTTTATACCATTGCTTAAACCTATTTGGGGGAAAATCTTCAAAATATTTTCTTTAAAATTTCTGATATAATTTCTGCTTAAGTTTTTCCTTCAACCTACAGTTTATTGCCTTGCTTTGGTATTGGTGTCTTTTTGGGGGGTTGAAAAATTGGTTTTATGACTCTGTGATTTCTGTTTCATAATGTTGTGCCAACTCTTTCTACCAGGAGTTGGAGAGGCATAGACTAGATATGGTATGGGTATGTTTATTTTTGTACATCTAACACCGCATTGTGATTTGGTTGTGATATGGTTGTCATAGCAATGCATAAAGTGTAGCACTGGCTGCTGTCATATTACATACTGCTGCATGGCTTACAGCACAGTGCATTGCATACATCTGCTTGTCTGTCTATAAAGAAGTATGATGCATCTCCAAGATTTTACACTGAATTGTACAAGCCTTAAATAAGGCTGCTGTCTAAAAATTTACATTACTGATGTCACAAAGAAAGTTGGATCACTATACAATTAGGTATAATTATGACCAATATTCTCCCATCATTCTAGATGCAAAACTGCCATTGCATACAGTGGGAATTTTGAGTTTGCTTGATGAGAGAATATGAAATATATTCTGGTTTCATAGACAAATTTTAGAAATAATTTTGGAAATATCCCTTTGGAGAAACCAAATATGCTTAAACAAAAAAATCGATTAGATATTATAAATATGTGATTTTTTTATTTTAAAAGTAAAGTGAGATTATCAAATTAAACCAGTGCTTACCTTATTTTCATACTGTGCCTTTAAGATTCCACCTGTTAGCCCATGGTGCAGCTTTTGTGGCTTTAAATAGTGTATCAGGTGGCAGACATCAGTAAATAGGAATATCCCATTTCACTGGTGTTGTATGTGAAACAAGACTAGTTTAACTAAATTGGTATAAAAGCCTTAAAAAATCTTTAATTTGTTGGTGGCTTATTGGATTTACAAAATGATTTTGTAGTTGAAATAAAATAACCAACTCTAAAATCATGAAGTTAAAGTGACTATAAATCAATTTCTTCCTGATCTAAAATTTTAAGAACAACACAACCTTTGGTTTAATTGGCCATAGTATTTGTGGTTTTTCTAATAGCAGATGTAAGGTAACTGACCTGTTCCAGCCAACCATTATGCTTTTCGTTCTGCCAGCTTTTGAAGGAGCATCACAACTGACCATAAGTAAATCTTGTATGCTTCTGTTTACACTGTCTCCATGTTCATTGCTTTACCTTTTTGCTTTTGATTGTTCTTGTATTTGCTTTCTAAACCTAAACTAAAACATGCACAGACTGGCCATTCTTGTCTTATATTTAGTATTTACTGTGACTTGTCTATAAATGCTAAACATGCTATACTGAGTTTTTGTTTTGTTTTTGTTTTTGTTTTTCCATTGGAAAATCAAACTGTTAATTGTGGTTGAGTTATTTTCCACATTTTATCTGGCCTAATAGGAACGAGAGCGAAGGCGACAGCACATGATGCTTATGAAAGCTATGGAGGCTCGTAAAAAAGCAGAAGTAAGTGTATCTTTCTACAAAAATATTACCTTATAAAGTAACACTTTTTCCTAAGGCATTGGCTCTTCTAAATATAAATTTTTCAGAATATAGGTTTGTTGTGATTTACTGGCTTTCATATGCAAACCAGAAATTTAGAGAGAGCAACTGAGTGTTAGAACATAAAAGAATGTAGGAAGAGTTCCAATGTATGTGTTAGTTTTCCTGGCTAAGATTTTAATTGTCTTTTTTTAGTGTAGTAAATGACATTGGTTTAGATAAAGGTAGCTATTTATTACACCAGAGTTTCACAAAACTAGTATTACAGCATGCCTAGACAAGTCCTGTATGTCGTAATTCAAACACAAATCATTCCGACCATGGATTCCTGCCCTAAGAATTATTCTTTAGTATTCTCTATGTAAAATTAGGCCTAAGTACTTTTCTTGAAGTAACTTTTAACAGATAATTCAGAATAAGAAAATTATTGCAGTACATCAGAATGAGCTTATTTGGAGTTTAATGGAAATCACATAAAGGTTAAAATAGATATATGTTACAAAGGAATAACATTCTGTATTAAAACAGTTGAATAGAGTCATTATAACTGGGGTTTTGGAGGTTGAAAGACACAGATTCCCCTGCTGGTTCTGCCACCAATTTGCTTTACATTTTCAAGCCATTTCTTTAAAATTGAGATGATACGTACCTCCTAGGATTATGGGATTATCGAGTGAGATAAGCATTTAATAAGTGAGAATTAATGAAAATGATACTGTTTGATCTAGAAGTAGGGAGGCCTGTATTTCAGTATTTTGGTCTCAGCTCTAGCTTAAATTAGCAATATAGATTTTTGGTGTGTAGAGAAAATAAGTGTATTGTTTTGGAACCTGTGCACAGTAGCCAGATTATCTGAATTTGAATTCCGATTTCATTACTTTCCAGCTATATGCCCTTGGGCATGTTATTTAACTTCTCTGTGATTCATTTCATCTATAAAATGAAGATAATACTAATTTCTGTTTCGTAGGACCGAAGAGATGATTAAATGGATATGTGTCTCTGTGTGTGTAAAGTTCTAAGAACAGTGCCTGGCACCACATAGTACCTAACCATTGACACTACATATGTATAGAATGGGCCTAGCAAGGTGCATCCCAGGTTGCGAACTACTGACACAGATTACCTCTTAGCAGAGACTTAACATAGCATGTAACATATATTACAGCAATCACTTTCTGTGACTTTTCCTAAAGGTTATGGAAGTTTTACTCCAACACTTTTCCTGCTGTCTTTTTTTCCCTAACCTTTTGATTACCCAGGCTTATTGACACCCATTATACCTAACATAATAATTGAATATATACATCTGTGCATGGAAATATAACCATAATCTCTGAAAAATGACAGTCACGGAAAGAGAGAGGTAACGTATTCCAGGAATTGGCAGGGCTGCTCTGTATTCCATTATGGAAACAGTACAGTGAAGGGAAGAGTAGGGAAGGGGACTAATTAAAAGCCTGAACACTAAATCTAATTCGCTCAATCTGGAGAGATGGAAATGGAGGGAGCAATTAGTAATTCAGGAAAAAGACCTAGAAAATTCCTCAAGAGACAAGTTCTTCCCTACCAATTGTGGGTTTTGTTTTTTTGGGTTTTTTTTTCTGTTTGTTTGTTTTCTGTTTTTTGTTTTTTTATAAGAAGGAATAAAAAGAACCAGGGCTTGCCATTCTGGTTTTTCTTGGCAGGGAGGAAAGCTAACCAAAATAATCCAAAACGTTATCTTCAGGCATACTAGGATTCATTAGAAGAGAAGATCCTGTAAAATAGTAAGAATGAGATCATCTGAGAGAGGGAATATCCAGGTGAAAGAGGCACCCCAAAGGCCTCAAAGACATGAACCCTCCCGCTGGTTTTTCATATTAGCCCACTAGGGCCTGGGGAGAGTGGGGGAAGCTGCTGCAGAGAGGTGAGGAAGATCTGGGTTGAATGGAGGGTGATAGCCACAGGATAAATAAAGCTGATTAAAATTAGATACTCTAAGAATCCATCAAAGCTCAAGAGCACCTCTCAAGAGGAAAAGGATATACTCTTGACTAAATAGAGTGAATCTGCTACAGTTCTTCCAATAAAACTGAGAAAGAGATTCCAGATACCTGGTACAGCTCTTCCTCTCCTAACTACCTTTGTCCTGAGCAAAAAGAAGTGGAAGCAGAATACAGAATACTCACCCACAAATCTGAAGTACTTGTAAGTCTAAAATCAGGTAGCAGATAGAGAAGAGCTGCAGGAAAATTAACCCACCTACATTGGAACAATACAAGTTGTGAATAGGGCTGGACATATTAAGCATAAGTACTTTGAAAAGAAATGGTAAGGCAACTGTGTTAAAATATTGAACCAAAATAAAGCCAATAAATGCATATGTACATAAATTAATTACTTAAATTCTAATGGCTGAAAGAGTGAGCCTGGTTTCTCGATTCTCATTATTGCTATCCTCAGCACTCCCTATACATTCTCTACAGAGCAGCTAAAGTGATCTTTTCAAAAAGTAAACCAGATCATATCCTGACACTATCCAGGGGACTCTCATTGCAATTACAACAAAGTTCAAACTCCTCACCATGGCATTTTCCCACTGACCTCTGCCTCTCACTCCAGTTTTACTTCATACAGTTTGTCCCTTATGCACCATATTCTGGTCATTTTTGTCTTGTTATTATTCCTGAATGAATGGTCTGTGCTATTGCTGTTTTTCCACCAAATATTCAGATGGTTCCTATTTGTTGTTCAATCATCAATCAAATGTTAACTTTTCAAAAAGGCCTTGCCAGCAGGAGAGTCGCTTGAACCTGAGAGGCGGAGGTTGCAGTGAGCCGAGATTGCACCATTGCACTCCAGCCTGGGCAACAAGAGCAAAACTCCATCTCAAAAAAAAAAAAAAAAAAAAAGACCTTCCCAGAAACCTAATTTTGCTTTATCTTACACCCCACACCATTCACTCATCTTATTGTTTGTGGGCTAGTTCCTCCCAGAATATAAGATCTATGAGAACAGGACTCTTGTCTGTCTATGCCATTGTATTGCCAGTGCCTCAGTTAGAACCAAGTAAATAGGAGGTGCCTAGAAAATTGTAAATGAATGAATGGATAGGGTAAAATTAAAGTGATTGTGGCAGAACTAAAAAATCAAATTAAGTACAAAACAATCATTAAATTTTGAGTATATTATTATGTTTTCTATGTAATTCTCTTTGTATGATAGAAAACTCTTTTTATTTTATTTTTCTCCAGATGGTGTTCTTTTGTTACAGTCAAACACTCAAGGAACTATTATTTAACAATGCAATAACATATGCCACAAATAATCCTCAATCAGAATGTTTCAGAAAATTTCGTAGATAAAATTGAGTTCTTAAAATGTTATTGGCCAGGTGCAGTGGCTCACACCTATAATCCCAGCACTTCTGGGAGGCTGAGGCAGGAGGATCACCTGAGGTCGGGAGTTCGAGACCAGCCTGATGGAGTAGTGAAACTCCCTCTCTACTAAAAAATACACACAAAACAAATGAGCCAGGCCTGGTGACACACACCTGTAATCCCAGCTACTCAGGAGGTTGAGGCAGGAGAATCACTTGAACCTGGGAGGCAGAGGTTGCTATGAGCAGAGATCATACCACTGCACTCCAGTCTGGGTGACAGAGTGAGACTGTCTTTAAAAAAAAAAAAAAGTTATCATCTGCCATAGACCCATGAACAGGACTCATGGACTGGGTAATTTTATCAGTCATTTTGATTTTGAATTGTGTTCCTCTAATGTGGGGGTCCCCGGGGTTTCCGACCAGTACCTCCACCTGAGCCGGATGCCAGAGCCTTACCTCCTCCCAGATCAGTGGCAGGATCAGATTCTCATAGAAGTGTGAACTCTATTGTGAACTGCACATGCGAGGGATCTAGGTTGCATGCTCCTAATGAGAATCTAACGATGATCTGAGGTGGAACAGTTTCATCCTGAAACCATCCTCCCCACCACCCCACCCCTGTGTCTGTGGAAAAATTGTCTTCCATGAAACTGGTCTCTGGTGCCAAAAAGGTTGGGGACCACTGCTCTAATGAGTGGTGCCCATAGATCTGTGATCAACTGTTAATCTTTCAAACTACTAGTATGTGCCCAAGATTAAATTAGATACTGTGGGAAAAACAAAATATTCAAGATGCAGTAATCATATCAGAGAGATAAAATGAACAGTATAAGTGGTTAGGCAATAAAAGACCTATTTTTAACAACGATCAAAACTTTCGC